TCCCAGTGTGCAGCGCCATCTCTAGCTGAGACTTCATGCTCTCTTCCTCACCTTGTGGACTTCAGATGTGCGCATTACTTTGCTGAGCCCTATTCAGCATCTCTTGTAGGCTTCTGGGTTTCCACTTCACTTTTCTTCAAACCTATTAGCTGTTTGCATCTCGGGTCTATCCCTAGCTTCAAGCTTGAGGAATGTCCTCTAGACTGTGGACACCAGGCCTAAGCTCAGATGACCCTCTAAAGACAGCACTGAGCCCAGAAAGCTGAGACAATGTTTAGACATCAAACCCAGCCTGGCTCAAAGGTTGACACTGGAACCCTGAAGCTTGAGTTGGTGATGCATGAGGAGAAGCCCAGAAATTGGGAAGCTGAGGCAGGAGGATCAACATGAATTCCAGGCCAGTCTGAATTGATAGCAAGACTCTTATCTTAAAAGCCTACAGAGCCGGGTGGTAGTGGCACACGCCTTTAATCCCAGCACTCGGGAGGCAGAGGCAGGTGGATCTCTGTGAGTTCGAGGCCAGCCTGGTCTACAAGAGCTAGTGCCAGGACAGGCTCCAAAGCTACAGAGAAACCCTGTCTCGAAAAACCAAAAAAAAAAAAAAAAAAAAAAAAATCCTACAGAATGGAATTCCCAAGCTGGGGGTGATAGCATATGCTTGTATGACTGGGGTAGGGGAACTGCCAAGAGTGAGACCCAGACTCTAAATAAATAAATAAATAAACTGGCTGCGTGTGGTGGCACACACCTTTAACTCCAGCACTGGGAGGCAGAGGCAGAAAAATTCTATGAATTTGATGCCATCCTGATCTACATATCAAGTTCCAGGCTAGCCAGAGTTACACGAAGTGAGACTCTGTTTCAAAAAAGGAAGGAAGAAGAAGATCAGAAATGAAATGTCCTAGTCTTATCCACAGAAGCTGGGGAGGCCCAAGCCAGAAGGCAGAGGTGCTGGGCTGGAGTGTAGGAAGAAGGTGTGGAGGTTTCCTAGAGACACACCTATCAGAACCCTGGGTTGGGGAACAAATTAAGGGAGACAGGCACCAGGATGGAGAGGTAATTCCAAACCTCTCTGGAAGATCACTCTGGAGAGGTGTCAAATTTCTCCTGTTCCGTGTCCCCACACCCCTTACAACTCCCTCTCTGACGTCACATTTTCCAGTCTGGCCCCAGGAGTGAGGACCTCCCTGACAGGAAGTGCCCTTTAGCCCCCTGCCACCTGGAATGGAGCGCTAAGCCCCAGAACCCTTAGACTCCCTTCTCCCAGTGTCCAGCCAGCCCTTCCTACCCTGAACCCCTTCTCCCTGCAACTAAAGGAGTGAGTGAGGAGATGGAAATATGGCCCAAGAAAAGAGGATTGTCAAAGAGCACCAGACTACAATTCTGGGCCACAACAGGTAGAGTAAAAACCATCGCTAGCATGGTACAGAGAGATGGGGCAACAGGGACACGCAGGAGTAAACAAGATACTTGTCAAGAGATAGGGTGGCAAGGCCTCACCTCAGGCTAGTACAACAGGGATCTAGGACTGGGAACCAAAGTCATAGAAGAGGGAGACAGGAAAGGCCAGATTCAGGTAAAGGAAATCTGGGGTAAGGACACCAGGACCCTTTAGGCCCCTGGTGGGTGGGTGGATTGGGAGCGGGGGGGGGGGGGGGGGGGGGGGGGTCTAGGGGATCTCCCCAGGGGCTCATGACTCACTCAACACTGGATCCAGTCACAGCTCCCAAAAGACTGTTCTCTTGGGGTTCAGTTTTTCTGCCTCCCTCTCTCACACTCCACAATACTGAAGAATGAAGGGACTGTGCCCGTTCTGGAGCCTGGACTAAAAAGACGTGGACCAAGAGGCTGGAGAGATGGCTCCGTGGTTCAGAGCATACGCTGCTCTTGCAGAGGTGCCCACATGGTAGCTCATAACCATCCATTACTGCATCTCTAGAGGATCCAATGCCACCTTCCAATTTCCATAGGCACCACATATGCACATGGTATACAGACAGAAAAACACATAAAAATTTTTAAAAATTTTGCTAGGCATCGTTGTACATGTTTGTAATCTCAGAACCCAGGAAGAAGGAGGAAGATCAACAATTATCTTTGAGGCCGTCCTGGGCTGCATAATCAAACCCTTGCTCTAAAAACCAAGGGGTTAGGTAAATGAGATGACTTAGTGGGGAGAGACACGACACATTGTGGCTACTTCTGATGACCTGAGTTTGATCCGCAGAATTCACATGGTGAGAAGAGAGCACTCACCCCACAAGGTGACCTTTGACTTCTGGCAATGTATATACACACAGAGAGACACACACACTAAAAATACAAACCTATAGTGCAGTGGTGGTACACACCTTTAGTCCAAGCTCTCAGAAGGCAGAGGCAGGAGGATCTCTGTAAATCTGAGGCCAGCCTGGTCTGCAGGACTAGTTCCAAGCATACAAAGAAAAACTTTGTCTCAAAAAAGCCAAGAAGGAAAGGAGTAGAAACAAACAAACAATGCCAGACATGGTGGCACATGCCTTTAATCCCAACACTCAGGAGGCAGATTTAGATAGAAGTCTGTGAGGCCAGTTGGGGCAATATAGTGAGATTCTGTTCTGGAAAAAATAAGAAATAGAAATAATAAAATAGGCAGGGCCGTGGTGGCGCACTTCTTTAATCCCAGCACTTGTGAGGCAGAGCAGGAGGATCTCTGTGAGTTCGAGGCCAGCCTGGTCTACAAGAGTTAGTTCCAGGATAGGTTTCAAAGCTACAGAGAAACCTGGCTCAAAAAATAAAATAAAATAAAAACAGAAAAAGAAAAAAGAAAAAGAAATAATAAAATAAAAACCAAAGACTTGTTGGGAAGATGACTATGACTTTCATGGGTAAATGTGCTTGCCACACAAGTCTGGACCTGAGTTCAATCCCAGAGCCCTGTAAAGCTGGGACAGAACTGATTCCACAAAGTTGTCTTCGGACTTCTACATACATGTCCTGGCACACATACACGACAATAAAGTTAAGGGTAAGGGGGTAGAGATACAGCTAAGTGGTAGATTACTTGCCAGCACGAATAAAGAAAAATGTGGTACTGGAGAGATGGTTTAGCATTAAGAACACTGGCTGTTCTTCCAGAGGATCCAGATTCAATTCCCAGCACCCACATGGCAGCTCACAACTGTCTGTAACTCCAGTTCCAGGGGATCTGGCACCCTCACACAGACACACATGTGGACAAAATACCACATGTAATATAAGTAAATTATAAAAGAAAAGAAAAATGTTATACTTATTTGTTTATTATTTCTCTGTTTGAGTCTCACTTTGTAGCCCTGGCTAGCCCGGAACTCACTGTATGAACTAAGCTGGGATTGAAATCCAGACATCTGCCTGCCTCTGCCTCCCTAGTGCTGGGGTGAAAGGCAAGTGCTACCATGTCTGGCAATGAAAATGTTTTTAATATTAAATATTTACTTACAAATATGTAAATATTTAATATTAAAAATATTAAGGTGGCAAATATTTTAATGCTAAATATTTACCTATTAATATTTATTAAGAAAGTGCTTAAAAATGGTCAGGTTATGGAATTTAAGGTTTGCCTGGCTTAGCAAATTAGAACAAAACAAACAAACAAATAGAATACCTAGTTTCTGAGTTTCTGTTTAAAAAGCAAGCAAACACAGACTTTTTGGTATAACTATGTCCCAAATATTATGTATACATATGCACATTGTACGTGTTATTCTTTTCTGAATAATTTGAAGCAAGCTACAAACACGACATTTCATCCCTAAATGTTTTCACTTTCTTACAAAGATATCTTCCCCAACAAACCATTGCCATAATTAAAATAATTTTTGCCAAAAATTAAAATAATTTTAATGAATAAAATTATTCCATGCAATAACACATTCAGTTCATACTCAAAATTTCCCAGTTTTCCGGGACTGCTAAAGCCCAGAAAGACATGGGATCTTGACAGAAAGAGAAGCGGGAGAAAGCATGCCACAATTTCCCGTTCATAAAATTGAGGTGAAAGCATCTCCCTCTTAAGAAGATTAAATGAAGGCCCGTTGTGTAAGCCTCCTCGGACCCAGCAGTCCCTCATTTAACGTTAACAGTTACTATCACTATTATTATAACACGTTGATGTTATTTTGATTAAGAGTGCCACTATTCGGAAGACCCTTCCTAACGGTGCCTGGTAGGGGATTCAGGGTTGGATTCCCCCCACCTCACCCATCTGGCTGTCTGTCACCCTGCCGATTATGACGTAGGCTGATGCTAGGGAAAGGGGGCATCTGGCCGGAAATCCCTCTTCCTGTTGCAGATAAGCCCAGAACTGCCCAGCTGACCCCAGACCCTCCTCCCCCACCACCTTTCATGTCACAGCACCAAATTCCCAAGACGGGAAACCTGTCCAAGCCCCTCACCCCATCCCCACTACCCCATAAACACCCCTTAGACCTCTGCACCCCCAGCCCTGCCCTGCGCCAGTTCCCCAAGTCCTTTTCCAAGCCCAATTCATCCCTGAAAGGGGACAATTCCAGGGACCAGTGTGCATCCCTAAAGCAGGGGGTGCAAGTTGGCCACGCCCCCATCCCTGCAACTTGACCCGGGCTACGACCCCCAGCTCTGACGTCTCGGAAAATTCCCCCTCCCCTACTCAGGCCCCCCGGGAAGGGGGCATGGTATGAAATGGGGCTGAGACCCCCCTGGCTACGAGAGAAGGAACCTGCCAGAGGTGAGCCACTGAGAACTGGGGACTGATGCCTGGGTATCTAAAGTGGGAACTTCTAAGACGCTGGGAGCCTGGATTGAAGTGTCTGAGAGAGGGAGAAGGGACTGGAAACCAATATTCCATTTCCTGGGGAAGGAGGCTGCAGAAGTCTAGACTCCTGGGTCTGAGGGAAACAAGGGCTGCAGTCAGGCTCCTGGGTCCCTAAATGTCACTGGCTTGTCCATTACCCTTGGAACTTTTCCTTTCTTTTCCAGGACAATCAGAACAAGCATCCATGGACCTGTGGAACTGGGATGAAGCGTCACTGCAGGAAGTGCCTCCTGGGGACAAGATGACAGGACTGGGTAGGCTGCTGTGGCTTGGGACAAACTGGATGCTAGGGTGCAAGGATGCAGCCCTCTTGACCCCTGATGTGGCCTTAACATCCTTGTTGCCCGCAGAAGGAGCGGAATTTGGCTTCTATTTCCCTGAAGTGGCCCTGCAAGGGGACGCACCGATCACACCAATGACAGTAGAGAACTGCTGGAAAGGTGGCTGCTGGGCTGGACCCCCTGGGTGCTAGGGAAATGGGAGAGGATGGGCTCCTAGAAGGCACGAGGGGGCTGCCCGGAAGGCTGAAGGAGGCATGGGTGGGTGGCCAAGGTCCCTAAGTCACTGCTCACATCATCCCTAAACTAAGCTATCTTGTCCATCACAGGGTTCTCAGAGCTGGACTGGAGCCCCGCTTTACCACAGGAGGAAGTACCTTGTGAGAAGGGTGAGTGTATAGGAAAGGAGATGGGAGGAGGGTACCAGAGCCTCACACACCAGAGCTGAGTTTAGATCCCCTGGTCTACAGAGGAGCGGGACTAGAACTAGGGACGCCTACATCCAGAAGGCTATATAAAGCGCCAACCTCCTACAACTCCCAAGGGTGCAGGGGACCAAGACTCCTGGGCTCCCCTCACTTCAGGTGCATCCTCCTCACAGGGCCGGTTGCTCACCCCGTTCCGTGGTCGCGAGACTGGAGTGACCTGGGGTGCAATACCTCGGACCCGTGGAACTGCGCTTTACAGACGCCAGGCACAAGCCCTTCCTTCCCTGGCTTTGAAGGGGCGACCGACCAATATCCTGCCACCTCAGCTGGAGGGGATCCCTCGTGGTCGCACCCCCCGGCCACCTGGAGCACCGCCAGCTGGGACAGTTCTGCGGGCACCAATGGCGCCACCTATTGGGACAATGGCCTGGGCGGGGAAGCCCGTGCGGACTATAAAACGTCGTGGGGCGGGTCTGCGGGTTCGGACTACACCTCCTCGTGGAATCCTGGGCTGCAGGACTGCAGCGTCCCTTGCGAGGCGTTCCAGAGTGCAGCATTCACCACGTCCTCCAAATCGAGCCAGCAGTCTGATCGGGCCACCTTAAGTCGCTACCGCAAAACTAACCACCGAGGTAAGAAGCTGCAAAGTGTAGAGAAGGGGAAGTCAAATGGATAAGAATGGAGTGGAGCCTGGATACTTTGGCGGGGAGCGTGGGTGGTTCTTGGTAACTAAAAGAGGCGCGATCTGGGAAACTGGCAGCTAGGGGGCCGGAGTTATGTACCGTGAATCTTGGGAAGGAAGGGGTGAAAGGACACTGGTGACTTTCTAGGGACCAACGGCTCCTGGTTTTTTTTTTTTTTTTTTTTTTTGGTTTTTTCGAGACAGGGTTTCTCTGTGGCTTTGGAGCCTGTCCTGGAACTAGCTCTGTAGACCAGGCTGGCCTCGAACTCACAGAGATCCGCCTGCCTCTGCCTCCCGAGTGCTGGGATTAAAGGCGTGCGCCACCACCGCCCGGCGGCTCCTGGGTTATGTAAGAGAAAAGAGTAGTTCGAGACCAGCCTGGTCTACAGAGCTAGTTCCAGGACAGGCTCCAAAGCCACAGAGAAACCCTGTCTCGAAAAACAAAACAAAACAAAAAAAAAAAAGAGTAGCATTCAGACGCCTGGTCTTCCAGGTGGGGGAGGCTAAACCCGTGAATGCCCTAGGTGGGGCTCAGGCTGCTGAAACTGGCTCTTGGATCTCTACTATGGAGGGATCCGAACTCACAGACGCCCGAGGAGGGATGGAGTTAAACTCTTGGGTCTTGAACCTTTTAGCCTTCGTCGTGAAGGCTCCCCGACTCCCAGGGTTGTCCAGCCGAGTGTTCTGGGTTTGAGAAGCCTGGCCTTCATCCGCCTCTCTACCTCGCAGGTCCCATTCAGCTGTGGCAATTTCTCCTGGAGCTGCTCCACGACGGGGACCGCAGCAGCTGCATCCGCTGGACGGGTAACAGTCGCGAGTTCCAACTGTGCGACCCCAAAGAGGTGAGACAGCTCCTCAGGCACGGAGCAAATCCAACCCAGTCCGGAGAAGAGCCTAATCCAGTCCTTGACCCCGCCCCCACCCACCCTCGACCACAGTTAAAACCCGCTCCACCTATAGTGGCTAAGGTCCACCCCCTGGCCCCTCTGACCTCCGGATTGCATCCAAGGTGGCCAGGCTGTGGGGCGAGCGCAAGAGGAAGCCGGGAATGAACTATGAGAAGCTGAGCCGAGGTCTGCGCTACTATTACCGCCGCGACATCGTGCTCAAGAGCGGTGGGCGCAAGTACACGTACCGCTTCGGGGGACGTGTGCCGGTCCTTCCCTGTCGGGACAGCATGGGGCACCTGCCAGGTGCAGAAAGCCAATAAAAACACCCCGTCGAACGTGCTCACTTGTCTGCTTCTTTTCCACTGACACTGATTAGACCGTTGGGGAACCTAAATGTGCACTCTTACATTTCCACATGGCGTCTCCACCCAGACTCAGGTATCCCGACCTCTATCTGTCTTTGAGTCTGTGAGCCTGGATTCTGATGCCCTCAGTCCCTAGACTGCCAATGTCTTAGTTCCCCAACTAGGAGGATCCCGGAGTGAGGACTAGCCCCTCCCATTTCGAATCCATCAGATACTAAGCCCAGTTCCCTCCCTGCTGAGCCCCTGCCAGCCCTTCCTCAGGTGTTTAGGTATCAAGGTCCCAGCTCTCCTCTCAGCATCTTCTGAGCCTATTAACTTGGAAATAAGTTCAGGGGGAAATAAGTTCAGGGTAAGAAGTCCATAGGGCCGCCGGGCGGTGGTGGCGCACGCCTTTAATCCCAGCACTCAGGAGGCAGAGGCAGGCGGATCTCTGTGAGTTCGAGGCCAGCCTGGTCTACAAAGGGAGTTCCAGGACAGGCTCCAAAGCCACAGAGAAACCCTGTCTCGAAAAAACAAAAAAACAAAACAAACAAACAAAAAAAAAAAAAGACAAGTCCATAGGGCCTATTGTGTGTGCCTGTCCAGAATAGGGACTTAAAAACAAAAACTGAACGCCGGGCGGTGGTGGCGCTCGCCTTTAATCCCAGCACTCGGGGGGGGCTGGAGAGATGGCTCAGAGGTTAAGAGCATTGCCTCCTCTTCCAAAGGTCCTGAGTTCAATTCCCAGCAACCACATGGTGGCTCACAACCATCTGTAATGGGGTCTGCTGCCCTCTTCTGGCCTGCAGGCATACACACAAACAGAGTATTGTATACATAATCCCAACACTCAGGAGGCAGAGGCAGGCGGATCTCTGTGAGTTCGAGACCAGCCTGGTCTACAAGAGCTAGTTCCAGGACAGGCTCCAAAGCTACAGAGAAACCCTGTCTCGAAAAAACCAAAAAAAAAAAAAAAAAAACACCTGAACTTGCTAAGGCTTGACAATAGCTTATCCTCAAATTTATCTAAGTATTTATTGGTTTTTCAAAACAAGGTTTCTCTGTGTAGCCCTGGCTGTCAAGTGTCACTCACTTTGTAGACCAGGCCTCGAACTCAGAGATCCACAAGCGAGTTCCAGGACAACTAGGGCTGTTACACAAAGAAGCCCTGTCTTGAAGGAAAAAAAAAAAAACCAAATAAACAAAAAAGGTCATTTAACTGTAACTGGTGACACAGGCCACTTGATTTCACAGCATTCAGAAGACTGAGGCAGAATTATAAATTGAGGGCCTCAAGATCTGCCTGGTCTACATAGCAAGGCACTGTTTTAAAAAAAAAAAAAAGGTCATCAAGAGATGAAACAGCAGTAATCAATCAACGGGGCCTGCTCAGAGCTTCAGTTACACTTTTGGGACCTCACTGCTCCAGACCATGAGCCAGAAGCAAAGCCATGTGCTTTATAAAGAAGTCCCGTTTGGGCATTTCTGTGGCTTTAACCCAATCATAGAAGTTTATCTGCTCTGTCTTGAAGAAAAGATGCAGGCTCAGGGCCAGGAATAGTGGGACATGTCCTTACAAAGATCTCTATGAGTTTGAGGTCAGCTTGGTCTACATAGGGAATTCCAGGACAGTCAGGGCTATATAGAGACCCTGTCCCAAGAAAAACAGAAAGAGACTGAATGACTCAGGCTCCCCCTCTGAAAGACCCTACAGACCCCCTCCTCAAAACCCGCAGCTAGCATGCTCCCGGGGAAACGTCCTGTTTGCTTTAAAAAAATTCTCCGGATCAGCAGCCAGCCTGCTCTCGTAAGAACATCCCATGTGCTTGAGAGAGCAGGATGTCTATGAGATAGGAAGACTGCAGGGCAGGATGTCAATAAGATAGGACATCAACAAAGCAGGTTGACTGCAAAACAGGATATCTATAAGATAGGAACAGGATGACTGTTGCCAGGCATCCATGCTGAGAGAGGAAACCATTCATGCCCCCGCCTCATTCCGATAACCACGCTTTTGCTTCTGTAAACTTGCTTTTTGCTCTCCCCTATAAAAAGCCCGCCCTCCAGTTGGCAGGCACGCAAGTCTTCCGAGAGATCTTGCCGCCCACAGGTACCTGTATCTACTCAATAAACCTCTTGCGATTTGCATCTGTGCGGTCTCGGCCTGTTCCTTGGCGTTGGGGAGGTCTCCTCCCGAAAGAAGGTCCTCGTCGAGGGTCTTTCACCTCCAAAAAAGAATTTGCTGAGTACCCTCTAGCTCTAGAAGCCACTGAATAATTAAAACTAATGCACACCCCCGAAAACCATGGGTATTCCAAGTTGGAAGACATAGGACCAGAACTTTAAAAGGCCTATTGGGGGCTGGAGAGATGGCTCAGCGGTTAAGAGCATTGCCTGCTCTTCCAAAGGTCCTGAGTTCAATTCCCAGCAACCACATGGTGGCTCACAACCATCTGTAATGAGACCTGCAGGAAGAATACTGTATACATAATAAAAAAAAAACAAATAAATAAATATTTAAAAAAAATAAAAGGCCTATTGGACACTTAACCCACTCCAGGAGCCCCCAAAGAGAGCCTCATATATAACTCTCTCATCCTGAACCCTGTCCTCAGAGAGTTCACCGTGCAGTGGACAGGAACACCCTACACTGCCACTAGAAAGGGAAAGCCCACAGTTCTTGGGAGTGGGATGAAGAAAGCCCAGGGGATTATGGAAGCCCAAAAGGAGGAAACTGATCTAGGCCAGGAGGAAGAGAGACTGGGGGTGGGGCAGAGAGAAGTCAGGAAAGCAAAGAATGTTTCAATCAGAAGACCCAGAGACGGAAAATCTTAGTGTTGTTCAGAAATACGCATATAAAAGGGGAGGCTCCACTTCACAAAGGATCGATGGGCCGTGGTGTCTTGGTTTCCTACGCACTGGGGAGCCATAGAGATATATAAGAGACCTGGATTATAGGAAGATGTTGGAAGGAATGGATGTGTACACAAATAACTCCACAGATAATTACAGTGCTGACTGAAACAATAGGAAAGAGGCTCCTGGACCAGTTAGGTCTGAACACTGCCTCAAAGACAGTATGCAGGGCTAGTGAGACGCTGAGGAAAGGCGCCTGCCTGATAACCTGCATTTAAACCCGGGGACTCAACTGGTGGAGACTCCATCGAGAACCATCTCCCTCAAGTTGTCCTGTCTTCACACAGGTACAGTGACGTGCTCATCCCCACCCCCACCCCACAGTTGCTAAAAGGCATTAGGAGGGACGCTTCAGAGGCCCGACTGTGGAGGGAGAGGGAAGCGGTTGGTTCGCTTTTACTCCACCCTTTTCCAGTCCCTCACTCGCCCTCATTTGCATACGAGTTTTGTTCATTCCTCAGAGATTTAGAAATCAAAGCCTCTAAGCAGGCGAGAAGGGGAGCCATCTACAGGCGGAACAAGGAAAAAGGGCAAAGCGGGGGAAGGCGGCTAAAGGAGGGTGCCCGGGGTGCAGGGAGTGAGGAGAGCGTAGGTGAAAGGTGTGGTGCAGGGAGTGAGGAGAGCGTAGGTGAAAGGTGTTTGTAAGGGCTTTGGTTTTAGACTAGTTATGCCAGAAGCCAGGGAATGAGCTCTGGCTGAGAAAAGGACGTGGTATAACCGAGGTGGTAACAGCGTCCTAGGGCAGGGGGTGCACGCTGTGCAACAGCAGGGGAGCCGAGACGCCTGGGAATGGACCTGCTGTGATGCTCCAGGGGGAGGACCCGGACTGCAGGAGGGAGAAATATTCTAAACTCAGCACCCACAGGATTACTTGATAGGTCAGGCAGGCTATATGAAAAAGTTGGGTTTTGTTTTGTTTTTAATTCCATAACAAGAATGATAGAGTAGCCATTTCCCTGAAGGAACTCAGCTGCCTAAATAGGTAAACTGTGATTTTTTAGGTTTAAGGACAGCCATGAACAGGGAGTGGCGTCTGGTCCGATGAAGAGTGAGACTAGGACAGACCGCTTGCTTCTCACCTTTGGACAGAGGTCTTAGGACCTGTGAAGGTAAGAATTTTGTCTTTTCTTCAGTAGTGCCTTCTTATAGATGTGTTTGATAAGGAGAAAACACACTATAAATATTTCTCGAATGCATAGCAGACCCCAGAATAGAAGTACCATTCAGGCTGTAAAACTCAGCACATAGACAACACCATCTGCCAAAATGAAAACAAAGACCTAATTCATCAAAGCCCATAGTTCTGGGGCTGTCTGAATGTTCTAACCTTGCTTTTGGCTTTTGAAGTTCCTCTTTTGGCTGTTCTTTGTTTGTTTGTTTTGGTTAGTTAGTTTTTGGTTTTTCAAGTCCTGGAATTCATTCTGCAGACCAGGCTGGCCTCGAACTCAGAGATCTGCCTGTCTCTGCTTCCCAAATGCAGCGGTTAAAGGTATGTACTACCATTGCCCAGCTGGCTAACTGTTCTTGTTAACTGAAGCATACCAACCCAGAATATGATTTTTGCCCTTAAAAACTCACCCTGAGAGCCGGGTGGTGGTGGCGCACGCCTTTAATCCCAGCACTCGGGAGGCAGAGGCAGGCGGATCTCTGTGAGTTCGAGACCAGCCTGGTCTACAAGAGCTAGTTCCAGGACAGGCTCCAAAGCCACAGAGAAACCCTGTCTCGAAAAACCAAAAAACAAAAACAAAAAAAAAAAAAAAACTCACCCTGAGGAAAGACTGAGCGATACACTGGCATACTGAACACCCAGCGTAGTTCCCAGAGCTCTCTAGTGGATGTCCCTCAACACATGAATGAAAATAACTTTCGAATCCAGTACAAGTTTGTTATCCCAGCACGTCGGAATCTGAGTTCGAGGCCAGCCTGACCTCGAAATCCTGTCTCAAAACACAATCAGATTATCTGGGACATTTTTCCATTCCCGCTCTGCAGATAGTCCCGCGACTGCCTTTGTCCTCCCAGAAGGACAGGCAAGTGTCTAGAGCCCATAATTAGAATTC